CCCGGGGCGCGGGCCCGGCAGGCTCTCTTCTGGGGCGGGTGCTGAAGCTTCAACCTGTCTGTCGCGGTGCCCCTTTTGTCTGCTCCTCCCGCCTGCGTGGCCACCCCGTCTCCTCGACGGGACGGGACGGGAGGTGGTCGCCGGGGCACGTGGGCCCCCAAGGAGGACCGGTTGCTTCTGGGCTGACGCTGAAACCTGCCTAGAGAGCACCGTGCAAACCACCACATTTCCCTTTTTTAAATAGAAAAAAAATGAAAACCTGTTGTTGTTGAGGAAGTCCTGCAGGACATCAATTCAACGCTAGGCGAGGGCTTGGGATCTTTGGTGTAAAATAGTATAATATCGAGAAGAGGGGGTTGAAGTGACGATGTTATTCATTGCGTACTTACTTTGAAAAACGGCAGTTGTACAGAGATGTATCCGGTCAGGATGTGTGTGTATACCGACCTGCAGATAGTGTGTGTGTAACACGCACCCTAATTGACGCAGTGATCCTCTCTGTGTCTCTGTCCCTGGGGATACTGATACAGCTGTTCGTCTACCAGCCTTGCACCCAACCGCACACTCATGTCGTGTGCATCCACGCTCAGTGCTGCCCTCGCGTGGTGCGCTCCGAGCACTGCAGCCACGAGGAGCCGCGCCGCGCCGCGCCGCGGAGGGGAGGCGAACCCGCTGCTCGGTGCTGCCCTCCTGTGGTCCCGTCGAGGCATTGTCGCAGCCCGTGAAGGCAGAGAAAAGCCGGGCTCCGCGCCGCCCTCCTGTGGCCGCGCCGAGCATTGCGGCGGGGGGACCCGAGCCGGCTCCGCGCTGCCCGCCTGGGGCTGGAGCGGGGCTTGGAGCCCGGAGACGCGGGCAGGGAACTAAGCCGGCTCCGCGCTGCTCGCCTGCGTTCAACCTGCGCGTTGCAGCCTGGCTTTAAAGCCAAAGAAAATAAAAACCTGGCCTGTGCTACTGCCCTGCTCTTCAAACGGGGCTTTGCGGGCAAGAGATGAGAGCACAGAGAGAGAACGCGGCTCCGGCAGCCGCGAGATCGAGGCAGAGAGAGAAGAAAAAAGGCCTCGCTCGGCACGGGGCCAGGCGGGTTCGCGCTGCTCGGGGCGGACACACGGCTCCCGGGACAGGGGTCGCGGCCCCCGGAGCGCGGCAGGGCTGGCACCGGAGCCGCGTCTTCCCGTTGGCCGCTATGCGGAGAGCGGCGATTGGCTGCGAGGCCCGTGTGGGCGGGGTCAGTGAGGCCAGGAGAGCGGCGGGGCGGGGGGGGAGAACCCTTGTGCTGCGCCTCTCGTCTCGTGCGGCCTCCGGGCTGCTGCTCAGGTGTGTCGTTGCTAGCAAGATGTGCACGGAAATCTCTCTTCTTTAAAGAGAATATAAAAATGAAATGAAAAACCCGTTGTTGATCGGCAAGAACTGCGAGACATCACTTCAATTTTAGCAGACAGCCGGGGATCCTTGGTGTAAAATAAGTAACATTTTGAGAACGCGGTTTGGAGGCGACGGTTTTATCATTGCGTGCTGACTTTGAGCAGCTTGAAAGGGTAGTGGGTCTGAGAGAGCTACACGCGGGGGTGCTGTGTGCGCGTGTGTGTCTAGAATACATACCATAACGAGCACAGTCATCCTGCCACTCTCTCCCCATCAAAGGGGACACAGATATAGGTGTTGACATGTCTTTATGTTTGCCTCTCTAAGTTTATTGATGTGTTTAGTTTTACATGCATGATAAGTATGTTGTGCACCCATATAGAATATTCAGCTATGTGTTTTAATCCCACCCCTGAAAACGTCTTGGTGCTGCCCTCCCTCCTGTCCTTCCAGCTGGGCATAGCAGTGCCGAGATAAAGGCAGCAAAGTGGGCCGGGGGGGGACCCCAATAAGTGCTATCCTTCTATGCTTCAGCCCCTACATTTTCCAGTGGTGCCCCTCACTCCCAACCCAAGGCCCCTCCTGTACCCAGTGGTGCCCCTCACTCTTGACCCACAGCCCCCCCATTTCTCACCAGTGTCCCTCACTCCCAACCTGCAGCCCCCCTTTTTCCCAGCAG